CGTGCTCGTATTTTGGTTTACATGCCACCTTCTTGAAAACTTTGTTAGAGTAAAAAACTCACACGTGAAACTTTCTCAGACATCAGTTGAGCCATTCGGTCTCCTTCCTTGCCTTTTCCGCTTTCTGGCCCCCTTTCGTTACCGAGAATCGAAGTCGACGTTTTTTTTTTGCCAGAAGAAGAGCAGGAAACTATTGATTCACGTGGCACTCCATGCGTCTTCTCTTAAACGCACGCGAAGTCGTCGCGCATGTTTTCCAATGACAGAAACCAACAACAATAAATGAATGGTGCTGTCTGTCATCGCCTAATTTGCCTCCGAGAAACCAAAGAAGCACCACGCTCACCTCCAGGATATTTTTCCTTGGTCATTTCCGCTCTGGCTCGTTTGTCGAGCGCCATCGAACTGCATCCACATTTTGACTGTTGTCCCTCTTCCCCCCCCCCCCCCTACCCCATTCGATCTCCCGTTTTTTAATGGAAAGTCTCGCCAACCGGTGGGATCGTTTCTCACCACGATACTCTCTGTTATGGATGGATGAATCTCATAGCGAGTCATTCCCCGAAACGACTAAAATCGTGACTATTTTGGCGCCATCTCGCGCCACCCTCAGGAATTTCGCTCGGATGACTCAGATGGATCACTCGCCCACAGACATCTGTGCCGATGTGGGGCCTACGTGGGCAACCCATCGGGATGTGGGGCCTACGTGGGCAGTCCATTTGGATTCCCCAAGCCTCAGCCGACGTGGGTCCAACGCGGTTTTGTCGACTGGGATATCGATAAGGTCGGTGGAAGGGAAAGATGGAGGATTTGGAGGAGAGATGGAAGGAAATCGGGGCGATCATTCGTGTTTCATTAAAAGGATAATCTGGTAACTCGTTCACTACGTATTAGCGCTGTTGGTTAGAGATGCAGCCAAAAATTCGAACGCAATACCAAAATTATTAGGTTCGGTTTTTCGTTTCATCTCGAATACAAGCATATTGCTCGAAACTCTTGGCAGGCACTCGAGTCGGCATGACCTACACCGTCTTGCATGGACGTATTTCGCACTTGAATTCCTGCGTTCGAATGTGTTTGCGCGTGAGATTTGCGCGTGAGATTTGCGCCATTTCCTGCACCGAATGACCTTAAATGTTTCAATTTGGCCTCGAAGCGTTTGAATAATGTCAATTGACATCATTTCACTTAGTTTTCCTGCAATCGATGTTATTTACAATTAGCCTTAATATGGAAAACACGTGAATTTTCCGTGCACGGAAATTGTTTTTCCGTTTTGCAGGTCCAGCGGCTCAAATTGATTCTAATTTCAAATTCGCAAAAGACACTGAATTTTCGAATCTGCGCACCAGAATGAGTTCCTGCCAATCTCTCCTCGAATAAAGCTCCGACCAAGCCACATGAAATCTGAGATTTTCTATGGGAAAGGACACAATGCGAATATTTTTCCTCCAGGAACCGAATCGGCACGAAAAATGGACCACGCCGAAGAAGTTTCCCACAGAAATTGATGAAAGGCGAGTCGAGAGGCAGAAGAAAGCATTGACGCACGTCGTCCCCTCCCCCCACACCTCCCCCGTCGTATCTTTCGCGATCGATGGAGTCCTTTTTCCCATTACGATGCGACGCGGAGTTTCTCGGGAAAGACGCAGAAATGGGGGAATCGGAATTGCAGATGGATTCCCCAACCACCTTCTAAATGCCTTCGAGGCTTCTGATCTCTCCTCCTCCTCTTCTTCTACGAAGGGAAACTGCGTCTCGAGGCGAAGGCCATTCATCCTACTCGCACGTAATTGCCAAGGAGGTTCCTTCATCATTCGGCGCAAATTCGCACGAAACTCCGCTCGCTCCACCGAGAGAATCTCGGAGCCTTCAGAAGAATCGAAGAGAGACGATGAGGTCTTTCGTTTTGCTTCGTGTTTGCGGATCGGTGGCAGCAGACGATCGTGGGGGCTGTGATGACTCCACGTGAACATCGTACGCTTCTCGAGACCCCATTAAATTCGACTTTTTGATCAAGCCCTTTCAGCATGGTTATGTCATCGTCTTTAAAAAAAAAACGGTTTAATGAGTTCCGGTCAGTTTGCGAACAGAGGCTTTCAAACGTTCAGATTTTCTTAAGTGATATACATTGTTTTTAAATTATAGGTTACATAATATATATATATATTTGCTTGTTGCCGCTCTCATTACCGAATTAAAAACATATATTCTCATCCCGATCTTTTTTTTGTAGATGGACCGTATCTACTTAGATTTTTTGTTGAGAGTCGACATTTGACACGACACCGATGTCCAAACGCAAAATTTAGACCAATTTTTTTTTTTGGTTTAGATTACTCTCCTCTGTAAAAATGAACTACTTGTTGACGTTTGCCCCCTCCTTCCCCTCCACCCCCTCCTGATCGAGAACATTCAATTCACGTCCTTGATGAAAGTTCAGAAAACGCATACTTTGAACTGCTTTTGATCGCTCTAAATTCTGGACATTTGAGCAGTCGACAGGACGTTCTCAAGGACTTTCCCAAAAGCTTTGGCAATACTCTAAATGAAACGTTCATTGAACATACATTAAACGTTCTGGTGCTACTTGGGAAGGGAATGCAAGGAGAAGATGGGGGGAGGGGGGAGGGAGGAGGGGGGAGGGGAGAGGGAGGAGGGGGGAGGGGGGAGGGAGGAGGGAGCTGGAAGGAAGGAGGAGGGGAGGAGTAGCAAGAAGCAATTTCTCCATAAGGGAGTGTTGTAAGATTTAATTCACTCCAAGGGATGGAGTGAGAAAGAGAGCTCCAAGTGGATATTTTGAGATCGAATCAAATTCAATTTATTCTGATTATATTTTTTATCGTCGATGAATCGATAGAAATTCGGATTTCGTTTGATTGCGACTTCGTGTGGTGAAGTTGGGCTGAAAGGGCAACGAGGTGTTTCCATGTTAAAAGCAGATGTTTCTTCAAGGATTCGGCCTGGGTTTCCGGTGCAACGTCTCCGCGCTTCTTCGTGGCTGTGGGAAGTGACTTGAAGGCGTGAGGGTTGATGGGCGCTTCAGGGTCGCGAACGAGGGATCTGAAGTCTCAAGAAAACTTTCAGAGGAAAGTGAAGGGACTAGGTCATTGACATTTGTCTCAGACTCACGAAGCCAGAGAAATTAAGAAAATGTATCCTTACCCCGAGATGCAGCAACCCCGTCGGCATCCAGGAAAAACGGCATCTATCGTCTCGAGAAGGAACGACCAGTTAAACAAGGTGGAAAGGAACGAAATCGGCTCATCTGGTCGATAGAGAGGCAAACAAAATCGAGAACAAACTAAACAAATGAACTCCCTGTCGTTTACACCCACGCATGCCGCTTTCAAGTTCATACCGATCCATTCACAGTAGCTCGGGTACGATGAATGAATCCTGAATCCTGGAATGAAATTCGAAATTTGCAGATGATTCATTGAACCGAGTCTAATAAAGGTATTCTCAGTCCAGGATTTCCTTCCTGTCGACGCCCACGCAGTGACAGACAGATAGCGGAGTCGAGAGCGATAGCATCATTCTTCACCGCGCTCCAATCGCATTATGACGTGCAGTTGTGACGCGGCGAAAGCGAATGAAGACTCCATCTTGCATCAGGCATTATCACCTTTCATCGGGGAGATAAGCGAGTTGAGATCGTCATATTAGATCGGAGGTGGAAGTCGTCATGGGAGAACTTGAGAGTGGGAGAGGAATTTCAGGCAGAAAAATCGTTCAGCGAGGTCGTGCGGATCATTGATGATTTCGGTTGAAGAGGACGGGCGCCAAAAAGGACCTGGAAGGAAGATGATCGAAGTCGAAAAACAGGGCAAGAGATGCAGATATCGGCGTCTCCTTTACAGAGAAAACTTCGTAAAATTCTTCCTAGATCGATCCCGAAATACACGATATGTATAACCGAGATGTAACCGAGAATTGCTTTGGGGCTGAGCCGATTCCGGTTTCTCCCGGTCACGACTGGGTCCAAACTGCGAGCTACGACGGCCATTAGAGCAGGAGAGAACCTGAAATGAGAAAAAAGATGCGATGGAAGGAATAACAGGATAAGAATACATACGTCCAAATTAATGCGATTTAGTAGATTCCAATCAAAGTCCACGTTTTCTCTCCCGAAATCATTTGTCTTTTCGACGATCGTCACCTCGGCCATAACGATTTCTGCCGAATCAGATCTCGACGTGATGCCTTTAGAGGGGGGATGGAGGGGGGGGGGGGGGGGGGGGGGGGGGGGGGGGGGGAGGGGCANTTTTTAGGAAGCGATGATGTGAAACATCCATCTGCGTTCGTTTTCCCATGAACTCGCCTTGGATTTGGAATTAACTCCCCTTGGGGAGGGGAGAGGAGGGGGGAGGGGGTTGAGGGAATGGGTCATTCTTGTCTTTTCTTAATACTCTTTTTGAGAGTTCGTGAGGAAAATTGAGCTTTCTGTGCTGGAATGCGTCTAAATATCTACAGGGCGAAAACTACATGAAGAAGGGTAATTTTTACTGTAGTAACGAGAAGATAGCATAAGAATGTTAACTGGAATGTCCTCGGGGTAATAGGGTGTTGCAAACACCAATTTTCTTCCCCCATCCATCGGGGTTCGACATGTTCGGCATATTGCCTCATTCCATGCATTAGAAACTTTCTGTGAAATGTGTGAAATGTGCTAGTTTTCTAATAATGCTAAGCCCTTCAAACTTCAATGACTTCCAAGACACAATATGTTTAGCGTAAAATGCAGTATTTCAGCATGATCTTTCAAAACCTACTTGACATTCATTTTTTTGACGATTACATTTAAAGTGAGAAAGGGGAAATACCTTAAAAATAACCGTCTTGTGTCATCGAAACATTTTTCACGTTTCAAAACACACCGATAATAAGCAAACATCTAGCTTCTTCAATACACCTGCCATCTATTTCGGACACCAAACTTCTGCAGGGCCATGTAAGGGTGACACGGTGACACGGTGAATATGACCTCTGACGAGGCGAGTCTGCTACTTGGAAGCTGGGCAATTTATCGACCTGGGATTGAACATTATGACATGGAAGATATCCCGACTGCGCTTTGCACTCACCTCATCTATTCCTTCTGTAGTGTCCAATGTCTCCTGGGGATTTTTCGTTCTCGATCCGGAAGTACGTCAGGCGTCGAGACCATGACATGATATTGACATGTGGAAGACCTTCAACATTTTAAAATCAAACCATCTTGTTTCGTCACGGTTGTTCGATGGAAGAGGGATCTTGATGAGGAAGGAGGCTATAGGAAACTGGTGAGATTGCTTGAAGTGATAGGACCAGACCTGAAGGTGACGCTGGCCGTTAGTTGGTGGGGTGAAGGGAGAAGGATGTACTTGCCGTTGGCGATGGGCCCTGCAAGGAGGGAATCGTTCGTCCGATCTGTTGTCGGTCGATTCCCGTTCGTGACTCTACCCACAATTGTTGGAAGTTTCGATAAAGGTTGAGTCGTATTTGTGATATCACGTCTCAAGAACAGTAGTTACATGTTGGTGCGGAGATTCCTGAGACTCTATATCCCAGACTTCCATGCCTCATTTTGACGGCGCCTTCAGATATACATATTTCGCACATGTATGGATTAGGGAAATGAGCACAAGAGCTAGTAAAATCTTATTCCAAGAGCAGCATCATGATACGAGTGCGTGGGAGCTAGCGATCACAGTGACTGTCTTCTTGAAAGGCAAATGGTGAGCGCACTGGAATCTGCTATGGAAGGTCATTCTGTTACACAGAGTACCCGAACAAGCATGATTTCGACAGATTCGACCTGGACTGGGAATACCCAGGAGCAGCAGATGGAAGCGAAAGTTGCGTGGACGAGGACAACTTTCTCTATTTCTGTCAGGAGTCGTCAGAGGCATTTGCAGCGGTTGGAAAACGCTGGGAACTCACGGCTGCCGTCCTTGTTGACTTGATATACGAGTATATCATTTCCACTAGAGCTTTTCGAGTTCGTCTCTTCCTGTTCGTGACATCACTCATGGGAAATGTTTTCCCCAAGTTTACATCCAGTATTTGAAGCCAGGTTTTGTTATCTACGAGATATTTCATATAATGTGATGAAGTCTGCTGCAATCATCTCTGAAGGCCTAATTTTCAAGAAAACGTTTTAAAAGACTTGTGGAAATATTGTCACTCTCAAGGACGGCTTTAAAATGCCAGTATACACGCATGAAAGTTACTTGCGAGTGAGTGCCACTTATTACTATTATTTCTTAAATTGCGACTTGCGGCGTTATCATTACAAATATAGTATTTTTCTGGGAAAAGAAGCTGAGATAAGAAGAGAGTAAGGTAACTTCTCACCCACGCGTGACGGCGAGATTACTGAGGCTGAGGAAACGGAGAGATTATTTTTTAAAGCCTGCTCGTGGAGTATTCCTCTGGATCATGGCGTTTATTACTTATTCCTGCATTTATTCGTGTCTTATTTAATTCTTAACGATGACGTTTGGGTGATGGAATACTGAAAAGGGAGTTTTCATTTTGAATGTTTCTAGAAAAAAAAAGCCACAAATGGTTTTGCTTTTCCAGATTTGCATGCATCAGGAGAATCCGGCTGGGTTCGCGGTTCCCCTCGGGGATTTCACAGACAGGGGTAAGCGACGAACAAACACCGGCTTAAGGCGAAGCAAGTCGACGAATTTTTGCCCCTCCGGAGTACGGAGATATTAAAGCCTACTATACCAGTTTCACCCTCCAGAGTCTGTAGTTGATAATTTACAACAAATTGAAGCAGTAAACATCAGAACAGACAAAATGCAAAACATTGATTTTGTCCCGGCCTCTCACGCGAATAACTCATACGAGAAGTCTCACTCGCTTTCTGCTGTGAATCATGCTTAGGTAAGAATCAACGCATCGATGAGCAAATGTATTAAAATTATGCTCTGGTACTTCCACCGTACTTCCGATGGGCGACCGAGAATAGAAGAGGATCGATTGCGAGTCCATAGCTTTCCATGCTTTGTGCACGATGTCTTCTGATTTATTATTGTTATTATTTATTATTTGTTGTCTTGTTTGTTATGCTTATTTGTTTGACAAACCCTGCGACCTTCCTTGCATGGAAAGATACGAATTGTTTTGCTTTGTATGGTAGCAGTCGACAAAAATGCGGTCGCGCTCTCCCGAACGCCTTGGATGGTTACAATATTTTTCCCTTTCATTTGTCGAAATTCGATCACGGTTGATGTGATATCGTCAGAAAGGCTTCGTCGTCTCCTTTGACTCGGTGAACCGCTCACGACGACCCAAGTAGGTGTCTTTACAGAGCAATGAAAGAAAGGTGAATGCGTCCGTACGCGAAGTACAGCAAATTCGCTTACTCAGAGGCGATGAATACGAGATACGAGGACGCGGACAGCGTGAAAATAAAGATGGACGCCATCCGAGACATCGGATACGGAAGTGGAATGACATGGGCCATCGACCAAGACGAGTAGAGGAACGAATGCGGTCAGGGGAAGAATCCGATGATGACTGCGCTTTATGAAGGGATGAAGGACGTCGTCACTGACCTGTTGGGCACTCCGGCTCCAGTAGGTTCTCCATTTAAGGCACTCAATTTATTGTTGAGAAGCTAGTCGTTAATGTGACCGTTGTAATCTCGTGAGATCTGTTCGGGAGACATCGATACATCCTCTATGATGAACGTGGTGGAAGAAACGGGAAGAATTATCCCATCCATCGGTTCTGTCCGCACGAAGATTGCGATAAGGTAGGTTTCCTTATTTAGTATAGTAGTATCTACTCGCTGTATCTTCGGAATTGCTCAGCTGCAATTGCCATCGATCACGCTGTTCTCGGGGAGTATGTCTAGTGTGTGTTCGGGGAGCCGACGATTCGGCAGCGCTTGAAATTCGGTGGGATTCGGGCTGTATTGGGATCACGAAAGTTGGGACTTAACGAAATGTTGACACTTCTCGTTACGATTTCCTGAGCGGTGAGGAATAGGGGGAAAGTGCCTGAATGACGGGGTATTTACCAAAAGAAGGACAATGTAACGAATTTAATCCGTGTATAACAAATCGTAGTCAAGACAAAAACTTGAATAAAAAGTCGAACAGAATGCATCGTGTTCGAACTTCTCAGGGAACAATTGGGAAGGAAATCATACTTCCTGTAATAATTTCTTTCTTGAACCACATACTGGGTGGCTCAAAAAACCGATAACCTACCTTTGTCGCTGATTCGTAGGCATTTTCTTATCAGGCGTCAAATGACTCACCTATGACTCATAAATATTGTGCTTGGGCGTCTGTATGTCTTGAAGTCCATGTGCGACGCCTTCTGCCTGCCTCTGAGTGTATGTCTTCCTCTCCCGGGCGAGCAATTTTTTTTCGGCCGTATGTTTCGAACGTAATCGGGGTGGGGGGAAGGAAGAGTTCCGGATGGCAAAAAAAAGACGAAATAAAACCATAGAGAGAACAGGAATCGAAACCAGGGCCTCCTGATTGCCAGTCCAAGCGTGCCACCAGTACGCCACCGGACCAAAGACGTTCAGTAGTCTAACTCCATGCCGTAGTTGAACACTAGCATGAGAGGGACATTCTACGTACACCCCCACCCTACCCCTTCCCTACCTACTTAGGGGGTGTTCACACATCTGATACGGACTTTTCCGCAGGGACGTGTAAAACGTCCCGCGTATGACACCTGGAGTCACCTTTCACCCCTGGAGGAAGGTTGACTTCCTCGCCGGGATGAGATCTCCTTCCATATCTTAATCGGGATCCCGACCCCTTTATCGATCGGAACCCCGTCCTCGCGTTACATCTGCACTCCCACAAGGAGAGTGACTTCCGAGGGCGAAAATTGAGAGATCCCACCTGTATGGAATAGGAACTTACTCTTGGATGGGAATGATGACGTCGACCGCGTGGTAACCATCCCGTTTCTCTATCCGTGTTTTTCAGTCGCAGGCCTTCGTGAGTAGTGGTGGAGATGGACTTTACGGACGATACGCACAGGGTCGCGATCGATACTGGATACGAGTGTCACTCATTGATTGTTCGTATTGTAGTCGTGAATACCCCCTTGGGAAAGGGGGGGGGGGTTGTGCAAGACGTACAATGTCTGAGCGGCTGTTGCGTAGAGCATCAATAGGGTCGTCGACTGAACTAGTGACTATCCAAAAATGCTACACGCTTAGCCTAGACCGACCCAGAGTTCGTGGATGTCTTCCACGGGTTGGGGGTCTCCGTCTCGCTCTTGAGTGAACAGTTTCTTTCGAGTCTTCGCGATTGTTGAATTCGTCCTCGAGAACGGGAGAGAGAGCTGCTGCCGCGTAGTGTTCAAGAGCTGATTGAACTCGTGGATTCCCAACTATGTTCACAGAACCGTAGAGAGTGGGGGGGGGGGGGGGCAAAAGGGGCATTATGTCCCGTGTCTCTTCCCCGGGGGGGACCCCACACCGGATCATATAAATTGTTTAGTAGCGTAACGTTCGTTAGCAATGAAGAGTTGACTTCTCCTTTCGTATGGGTATAGCGACTATTAGAAATTGATGTTGATCGTTGAAATCCAGTCGAGAGTTTTTAGCGATCCTGTGCGCATCTCCTTGATGCTTCCGGGAAATGAGTACGATGGGCATTCGTTGATGATATATTCCATTGTTTGGATTGGAGTGCCGCATTCGCACATTGGCGACTGTTTTATGTGCCACTTGTGCAGAGTCGACTGAGTCGACTGAGTGTGTTTGAAGCGGGAGGGAAGAGTGGAAAGGGGGTCCTTACGTGATTGCCTTACGTGATTATTGCCCCAGGCATCACAATTCGACCCTGGCGACCTTGACTACGTTACACAATTCGCCTAGGCTAGAAATGTCAAACTTGCTTATGCTGGCGGCCGGATGGAACCCTTCAAGAGTGGTTGGGCCCACATTAGCAAATCTTACGCCAAAGTTTCAATTGCTAACAGGTTGAAAAAGTCTATACTTTACCAAAAACCAACTGTTGAAGAGGACTTTGCAGGCCGGACGAAATCAAGTAGCAATCCTGCAGTTTGACACCCCTGGCCTAGACCGACCCGAAATTCGTGGAAGTCTTCCACAGGTCTTTCTCGAGAAAGGGATAGAGGAGCAGCTGCTCGTATCGTTGAGGGAGCTCTGAGCTCGGGGATTCCCAAGAATCAGTTTATGGAAGACTTCCCTTGGGTTGGAGTGCCCGGCTCACGCTCTCGAGCTCTCATGTTCTCTCCGGCCTTTGCGACTGTCGGATCCGTTCTTGAGAATGGGAGAGAGTCATTGTACGCCTTGCGCAAACCCCCCCCCCCCCCCCCCCCCCCCCCCTCCNGCCCCCCCCCCCCCCCCCCCCCCCCCCCCCAACTAAGGGATGTTCACGCCTCGATATGAACTTTCACACGGGAAAGCCCACATACAAAACTTGGAGTCCCGTGTTCTCCCGCGCGAAGGAGAGTAACTCCCGAGTGGGAAAGCAGCGAGATCCCATCTGGGTGGGATAGAACACAAAGATTTATCCTTGGATCGCAAAGATGCCCGCCGGTCGTGTCGTAACCATCCCGTTTCTATATCCGTATATTTCACTCATGGGCTTGCATGAAAAGTGATGGAGATGGACTTTACGGACGAAACGGACAGGGTTGTGATCGACAGGAAAAAGTGTCGATCGATAAAGTGGTCGGGATTCCGATAAATGCAAGGACGAAGATCTCACCCCGACGAGGAAATCATCCTTCCTTAAGCGGGACGAAAGGGGACTCCAAGGCTTATACGTGGGGACGTGTAAATATTGGGAAAGAGGGTCTGCTGCCAATAACGGTGCGAGGGCCGTTGAGTTTTAGGGCCGCGAATGATCCAAGGAGTTCTTGCCCAAGAGTTCCTGGAAGTTTTTCACGTGTCGGCTAGTTATATTATATTAGCATATTGACAAATATTTTAAAATGTTTAACCTTAAAAATTGTTTCTTATATGATGATCTATGGAACAGATGATGGATAAGTCAATTGTGTTCCACCACAGGATGCAAACGAGAGCGCGCATTTTCCTATGGAATGGTATGATGGCGATGAAGTGCTTTTTGTTTCCATTAAAGTAGGACAAGAAAGATCGTCACTGTTTCGTTGCCCGTAGTTATTATCTGTTGATGAAATGCATTGGACCGATTTTGCCTCTTCGAAAAGGGAGAGAGAAGTAAATGCAGAAAAGTGCTTGAATCTTCCGGTGGGAACGAGAAAAATCGGTGCTCCAAATGAATGGCTCCCAGGAACCCGCCACTCAAATTTAAAAAAATTCATTCCTAGAATGAACTCAGACGCAAAAAATAACCAACATTCACTTGCAAAAAGTCGTTGTCCTTAGGAAGTGTGAAGTCAACGTATATTCAAGAAGGAAAAGAGAGGAAATGAGTCTTCCAGAGCGTTCAACGTCTCTACGCTTTTACGACCGCACTTGTTCGTATTGGGTAAGTGCAGGTAGTTCTCTTTACTGCGTTTAGAATTTCCATGTTGGTATGTCCATGGATAAAGGTCAATTTTCTATCCCCTCGCGATGCTCAAGGCAGATTTGTTTGCGAAAGTGTCACGGAGACACGTATCACTTCTTAGGCTTACGTCGGGTTGCGCAAAAAAGCGTCCTGCTTAACGCCTGAAGAAGCGACTTTTCCTTCTTAATGAATTGACTTCTCCTTCATAAGTTACAAATTGATTACATGGCACAGTCGAGAATATTGCAGTTGTGCTGTAGCCTTGAGGCTATCTTCAGGCATCTAAGCGGGAAATGGAATGCATCTGTAGGAGACCGCTGAAACCGTGGAAATCGTGGGAAAGCTAAATTTTCTAACAGAAATTTAAATTGTAATGACTGGTACTATTTACCCAAACATCACAGAGACTTCAAAGCTGAAGCAAATTCCAGAGCGTTTTCTGTGTAATACAAAAATAGACAGATTTCGAGTTTCTTGCCTCAAAACCTCATACAGGACGCGGCCACCTGATATATTGCTACTGCAACAGGAAAAGCAAGAAGGGCATGCCCAGTCTAGTAGTGGGCCTTCTTTCATTTTAGGAGACCTGCATTTTGGTACCTAATTGAAAAAAATGCCAACTCTTTCCGGTCTTCGGCCATCAAAAACATCATTTTTCAGTTACGTTTGAAAATTTCCCTTGATGCCCATGAAATGATGATGGGAGGATGGTAGGATTGTGCGTGCTTGGAACCATCCGCCACGAAGGCTGGGAGGGAACTGACAGCTCTAGCTGCTGACAGGCAACTCAGACGTCGTCCGTTTCTAAGAGAAGAATACCTCCGCATTCGGGAAACATCTGGTTGTCCATCTGAAGCACCGAGCACAAGATCTGCTACTGCGGAGAGGAACACTTGACCCTCGTAGATGACTGATAAGCTGCACAGTTCCGCATTGGGTACATTCCTCATCTTCACTTTCACACTTCTTCACTTTCCACAAGAGGCGGCTTCATATTTTCTTGAACTTGGGTCGAAGGAACATTCCATCCAGGTTTTTTCCTTCACCGAAAGAAATTTGGAATTCTTTGATAAAGGACTGTTGTCAGAGTGACGTCGGTGCAGTTCCGGGATGCACTCGTCTTAGGTTTTAATGTGTTGCGAGCCGATAAAACATTAGACGTGGGACGAAGTGGAGTGCATCGAACGACCGAAGCCCTCGAGATAAAGCGCAGTTGAAAGATATTTCAGAGGTGGATGGCAAGCCGCTCGAAGCACTTGAGTTCTGGGGCTTCGAGGGATCTCTTCTGCGGATCCAGAAACTTTCGGTCGGCGGGAACTTCCAGGAAATTTGAGCAGCGTTTCGGATACGTTCATTGTTCGACTTCTCAGGATGCAGACGATGAGCAAGTCGGTGATGTTTTGCGGGGTTTTATTGGCTGTTCTTGTCGTTGCCTGCAGAGCTGCCGAGCCGCGACGTGACACCTTCGGTGAGTCTTCGCTCTTGGGTCTTTCAAATGGGGCAAAATGCAGATGAGTTTCCTATTCCAGTCAGAAACCGCGAAATGATAAGCAATAAGAATCATGACTGTGAGGTCCCTAGATGAAACATCTGAAACTTCTTCAACTACGTGCACGTCCAAGTTCCTGGTGCTCGAAAATTACAATTACCTTTTGGGACCTCTCCCTTCAAGCACACCAGCGCTCACTGGCTTCTTGGAGTTTTCTTTCGAAATCCCTACACATGTTAGAGCATACTCCTTTGTGATGACGAACACATAGGACACGTATCCCCTCGTGATCTCATCTGTAGATTTACCTAAGTGGATCTTGTAATAGTACGAGGTACTAGGGCTATGAGTCCGCTTCTGGCATCTTTCAAGGTTTCAAAGAACCCTGTATTACAGTACCTGACAAAAAAATAAAAAAACGGTACTTTTTCGAAGTCCAACAATGATATACAGTATTTGTGAAGCTCTATTACTTCCTGCCGTTTGTGTCTTTGACGCCTTCGTCAGCGTTCTGGGCGTGACCAACTTTCCATCCTCCTTCCGTTCAAGTCCGTTAGCCCTCTACTCAGGAATAAAACGACGAATTCCGAAAGTGAAGGTACTGAAACTTCCTGCATGGGAACTGCAAGAAAGCCCACCCATACGGAACAGTCCCATAGGATTCCTCTAGGAACCCTATAGGATACCGATAGTAAACCTATAGGAAAACCATTTGGAAACCTTTAGGATCCTATCGGTAGGTAAAAATTTACCTGAATTTTTTTTTTGTGACTAGCTTTCACTTGAAATTTAGCGCTCATGTACCTCGTACCCGAATACATTTGCCAACAAAGAAGTATTTCCTGATTCAGTTAAGCCTGCCAGAGTGTTAAGTGGACGGCTTTTACTAAGCCATACCTTTTTTTTTTACCGTCTGTGCGTCTATGCAAGCCTCATGTAAGTTGGAAGATTCAAGATTCACCAACCGCAGGCTCCACGATGATAAGACTGTAAGAAACGATGTAATCATAATCTAGAAAGCATTTTAGAACTTCAGGAAATTTTTTGTCATTGAAATTAAATAGATTATTGTAGTATTGGCATCGGTGTAGTAGTTTACTACTGTATGCTTAAATTTTTTTAATTATTTGGTTCCCGGTTCCATATGTTTCAGCTAGGGTAGTAGGAAGGGAGTCATGCTAGGAATTGGTGAAGTTACGCATTCCCTTTGGACTTTTTTCGAAACCCTCACGAGATGTCCACCATCGTAGGTCATCTCCCTATCTGAAAAGCAACTTGACAAGTCCTTCCATATAGTACTTCAGGGCTGAAAACTTCATGCTCCTTCGAGATCACAACCTTTTACACTTTTTTTTTTTTAACCTTATAAGCGGCTGCATCATCTTCCAATTAATGGGAAATGCCGTGGGAAAGAGACGGAGATAATTTACAAGGGCAGCATCGTTGGCCCGAGAGCTTGATTCGCCAAAAAATTGCAATTTAGGAGGATCAGAAGAGTAGTTATTTCTGGTGTCACTGAGCATTCGGAATATTGGGTGGTTGGCAAGCACCAAGATCATTCAACTCCAAAAATGCTCTCAAAATCTCAAATCCGAGTACCACGCGTTCCTTACATTTGCATAGAAATTAGAAGAGAAAAAGGAATGGTTTCAAGTCAACGTGTGCTACATTTTTGCAGGGCCATCGAAGGGACGACATGGTGCCATGTTGAATGGGCGACCTCTGGCGAAGCGAGTATGCTATTTTGAAAGCTGGGCGATTTATCGACCTGGGATTGGGCGTTATGACATCGAAGACATCCCGGCTGAGCTCTGCACTCACCTCGTCTATTCCTTCTGTGGAGTGTCCAATGTCACTTGGGGAGTCCTCGTTCTCGATCCGGAAGTACGTCAGGAGTCGAGGCCACGATATGATGTTGGCACGTGGTTGACCTTTAACATTTTAAAGTTAAATCATAATTCATCTCGATTGTACGATGTTAGAGAGATCTTGGTGAGGAAGGAGGATACCGGAGACTGGTGAGACTGCGAGATAATCACCCAGACCTGAAGGTGATGCTCGCTGTTGGTGGATGGGGTGAAGGAGGAAAGAAGTACTCGCAGATGGCGATGGATCCTGCGAAGAGGGAATCATTCGTCCGATCTGTCGTCGGTCGGTTCTTACCCTTGACACCAACCTAAATCATTGGGGATTTGTTCACAAAAATTCCGAATAGTATTTGTTCTGGTACGTCTCGGGAACAATCGATTCATCTTGGAGAAAAGTAGACCTCTGGGAAAGCGGTTCCTAACGTTATTTTGAGAGTTCCATCGTAAATCTACATTTTGGGGAACGCAAGAATAAATTATACCCAAGTATTTGTAGGGCAAAATAAGATTTAAAATAAAAGTACAGTATTTAGTCAATCGTAGAATGTTAGTTATTATATCATATATATTCCCAAGGCACTTTGAGTGAGCACTCAACGACGTAATGTTGACGGTTATTCTGCATGCTAGAGTACATGAACGAGTATGATTTCGACGGATTCGACCTGGACTGGGAATACCCAGGAGCAGCAGATCGAGGTGGAAGCTACGTGGACAAGGACAACTTTCTCTATCTCTGTCAGGAGTTGTCAGAAGCGTTTGCTGCGGTTGGAAAAGGCTGGGAACTCACGGCTGCCGTCCCCGTTGCGAAGTTCCGGCTTCAAGAGGGATATCATGTCCACGAGCTTTGCGAGTCTGTCTCTTTCATTTCTGCTTTCTTCACATCACCTGTGTTGAATTCAGAATCAAAAAATACAAAAAAAAGCTGGCTATGCTGAATTTTGACGCACGAAAATAGCAAGAGAGCTACTAAGCACTTTAATGTTATTTTAACAATTAATCATGAAAAAGTATATCAGTCTTTTTTTTAGCAGTCTCTTTGCCTGTTTCTTGTGGTTTTTTTAAATTATTATAAAGTAGTTGTTTGTACCTGCACAAACAACCACCCTTTTGCACCCAGTAATTAAAACCAGATAATTTTGTCTCTCTGTTATATCAAATGCAATTTTGAACATCCTCGTCTGATACGCTGTGGCAGGATATTGGACGCCATTCACCTGATGACATATGATCTGAGAGGAAACTGGGTAGGATTTGCAGATGTTCATAGCATGATCTATCGAAGACCCGACCTGGACAAATGGGCGTATGAATTTCTCAACGTCGTGAGTCTCCATTCATACTTTCTGGCACTGGTCGATGCGGCCCGCATCCCACGGCACCTTTACTGTACTCAGAACGACGGTGCGAATCTATGGGAAAGCTTCGGATGCATTCGAGACAAACTGATCGTCGGAGTCCCCTTCTACGGGAGGACTTACACGCTCGGAAGTCCGTCCAACAATGACCTCCATGCCCCGATCATGCAATGGGTCGGAGGGGGTGACCCTGGGCCTTTCACCAATGCTTCTGGATCCCTCGCCTACTTTGAAGTATGGATCAGATTTCGTTCATAAGAGATTCACTTTTCCTCGTAAGCATAGGGACTTCATTTGATAGGCAGAAATCGGAAGGAAAGAAAACGGGAGGAGAAGCACCAATTAAATCAAGTGCACACACATGGTCGTGATTGGAGCACATGTTAAGATTCAATACTCTGGTATCTGAACTTGAAAAATCTTGGGAAAACAATGATAATGTCATGGCATGTACTCTGACCTGGACCTCCAGCGGTTTCATTATCGATCCTGAGTTCTCGTGGAACAAAACCTCTTATATAGAAAACCTATTTAGAATGTATCGGTGGAGAGATTGAAGAGAGTCGAGAGCGGATAGCTGATATCCAAACTCTTGAGGATTGGCTTCGCTTTTTTTCCTGTTTTACACCATGAACTTTTTCAAGTACCTATCGTAGTATTTGTTTTGTGTTTGCTTCCTGATCGACCTTCAAGCATGGATGAAATCATCTAAGGAGTATAGATCTGGGAAAAGATACGATTAGTTTGGCATGAACTTTACTCTTCCAGATCTGCATTTATCAGAGGGACGATCCTGCCGGCTGGATCCGCAGATACGACAACATCGGAAAAGTCCCTTTTACTCATAGAGGTAAGCGACAAATGGAATTCGGTTTCGGAGACGAAGGAAAGTTTTTTGTTAAAAAAAATTTTCGCATTTTCGAATTATATTGATTGGAACGTCTCCGTTCCCCACGAGCGATTGCATCCTGAAGGAATAAAAAAAAAATCTCTAAAGCGGAGGATAGTGGTAGAAACAAAACTCAATGAATTTAGACCTGAAACAATTGTCATATTTGGCTTCATGACGTACTCTTACCATTCACCATTTTTCTTGCACTTAAAAATTCTTTTTTTTTTTGCATGGGAGATTACGGAAATTAATTATCTGCGACACATCCTAGAATGCCGAATAGTCATTTTGTCAAAATGTCAAAACAATCGCCCAAACTTCTCAATTGCAAATATGTTATAAATGGTCATAGCTTCCGTAAACAAGTTAGAATGGATTAAAATGTGACATTGTTGTCACGGCAAAGGAATGGACAAATCACAAGAATGCTATTATTTATTTGAGTGAAGTCATCGAGAAACCATGGCAAGGTTCTTACTCACGACTTGGGAAGCCTCGTGGCAGGACTTCAGGAGGAGGCCTTTTAGGTATTTTCACATCGAATTGTGTGCATATTTAACTCATTCGTTAACCTTTGATGCGTCTAATATTGTGCACCTTTGATTCAAAAGCAGATCAATATATAAAAATATATATTCTTTCAGCACTGAGAATTTTCATCAGCTTGCATGTGCTGTTGCCTGCTGTTCCCGTGCTGACGAAAGGTCCACCTGCATTCACATGACTGAACGGCCAGGTGGATAGGAAGTGGATTTGGAACCAGGTGGATATTCCACCTGGTCATTCAAGCCGGGAGGATGCCCCCCCCCCCCCCCCGGGTGGATTTTTAACCAGGCGGACATCTCTCCAACAGGCGGAAATACGCTTAAGGGAACATTTACCTTGTTCCAAATCCGCGTGGCAGAAGAACGTTTTGCATGAGTCCTCCTCATTGCTCGAATATTTATACAGACACTCTAAGGCATTAGGATTATTGCTGAAGCAATATTCATCGCTAAGAGATATGGTGTCCTGATATTGATGTTTCCTTTATCTCACCTGTAGCCAAATCATCTCAGCAGTCTCATTGTGCATTGTGCATTCCCCTCCTGAAAAGGAAAGCGTGCTTATGAAGTAGTTTATTGTAAAACGTAGTTTTTCCTTATACTCGAAATCATGCTGTCGTCAGAGTACTTTACAATGGCACAATTCTTGGCTGATGATAGCAACAACGTTATCAAAAGAAACATACCTGATTAGAAGCGTTGCATACTTCACATATTTTGCGAGTGTAGATATTGGATGAGCATATAAAAGGTAGCATTGAACCGCCTCGTGGCTGAATCCATTCTAACAATGAAATTGCACAAGTACTATTTGCTGCCTCTGGGTCAATATTTTTATTGCACCACTCGAGAGGTGATTTTCAGCGCTTATCTAATTTGCTAATAAGCAAATTAGATAACTGCAATGCAGTGGCTTATAATAACTCCGCAACAGTAAACAGCATCATGTGTTTCTTCCTTGTAACATTTTCCCATGATGTCCTTCTTTTCCCTGAAATGTGACATCCATGCAGGGAGTAGTCTCGATGCTAGACTGCCGCGTGCCCACTAACTTCATAATCACCCAAAATATGGTAGGGAATTTGCGATATTAATATACGATTGTTTCCCCGAAAAGGCAACCAATGGATAGGATACGAGGATGCGGACAGCGTGAAGATAAAGATGGACTACATTCGAGAGAAGGGATACGGAGGTGGAATGACATGGGCCATCGATCAAGACGATTGGAGGAACGAATGCGGTCAGGGGAAGAATCCGATGATGACTGCGCTTTATGAAGGGATGAAGGATTACGTCGTCCCCGAGCCACCACCCATCACCACTTCTACCGCTGTAAGTCCTCCACTAAATGCCATCTTTTACCGTTAGGAAGTTATGATTAACTGACCGTTGGAACGACAGGTAACTTGGTGGGCCCCACCGACCACGACATCCGTGGCGACGACAACCGGGCCTCCAGGTGTGACGACGACCCGCGATCCCAACCAGACGACTCTGTCACCCGGCCAATGTGACTGTTCCACCCAACAGTTTTGTCAACACCCGGATTGCGACAAGGTATATTTCACCGCCGTTTTTATCCGCTTTCGGCCCAATTTGTAGCATGACACCAAAATTCCCTCGGAATGTTTTCGGACAGTACGTCTGGTGTTTGCACGGAGAGCCGACGATTCATCAGTGTTCGAAAACTGGCACTATTCAACTTTTCTGGCATCACAAGATCTTGAGCTGCGACTGGCCACAAAATGTCGACACGTCCAATTGCAATATACCTGGCAAAGAGGCTCCCGGCTTGAAAGACGCCAAGCCGACGAAGATTTCTCGGAAGCAAGGGAAAGCCACGAAAGTAATCCGTTAAGGAAAAAGTAAAAAAAAAAAGAATAAAGTGTGAATGCCACGCATTTGAATTCCGTGGATATCAACGGAGTTCTCCTTGTTGATTGATCCCATTTCTGACTGAAGTGTGACACATGCTTCGTCTACCTGTAGATATGAATGGCATGTGTGCCAATTATTTTTACTTTCGACAATCGTTGCAATTAAACAGCATCATTCCGCACGGTAGAACTGTTGAAAGCCTTGCCATTCTCGCCACTGGAATGGAAAAAAAAAGGATTTATTTACTAACTAATGGTTCTGAGGCCACTGAGGACGTTTTGCCAGGACGATCTTCTATCTACGAACTTAAATATTTTACCTATTCTCATGAATACTTTAAAATATTTTTCAGGCATTTGTCGAAGAATCGAGAAATGGTTTTCAAGGCATTTCATTATTCATGACCAAAAAATAAATAAACCACATTGAAAATGATTTTAGGCAGATGCTCTGTCTGCCCGGCCACCAAACTTTTAAAGTGGGCTTTTACTTTAAAAAGACCAAGTTTTGAATTCTTAAACATTTTATTGGGTCGATCGGAAAGTTGAACTGAACACTCAACCGATTTGAGACCTGGTAGTTGAAAACATTAACGAAGCCTCCTCACTCCCGGAGTGTCTTCCCTCGACTGGTTTGGTCGCGTCTTTCCTCCCTCTCGATGCTCTTCGCCTCACCCAGAGATTTTAGTTTTGAAGATTGAAGAATCCATTTCGTCGGAAGTGAGTTCCTCCCGCTTGCGGTCGTCCGGAAGTTCCCGTTCTGGACGTGGACGGACGTTTCGTAGGGATTCTTGCACGATCGGCTCATTCTCCTTCCGCGTCGTCAGACGTTTTCTTCCTCTTCCCGGTTCGTTCGACAGGTCGCCGGTCTTTTTGAAAAATTTGACCCAGTAATGCATCGTCGACTTTGAGCTGCCAACATGCTTCGCAGCCGCAGCCAAAGATATCTCAAGATCAAGCTCATGGGTACAGAGGGTAACGATTCCCCATTGTTGCTTCATCGTTAGTGCCATGATTATCCCCAGGCTCACAAAAAAAAGGTTCAAATTAAAAAAGTGAAGCTTAAACTTTACGGATGATCAGGATTCGACGTCATCTGTTCGCACGCATCGCCTCAACTGCTATTCTTGCCCTGTTCCTCAGGTAGACCTGTTCAGTTTTTTTAAATTAATCATCAGGTATGTTTGTACATCTGCTCTGAAATTCTGGTTTTTCATTGGGCGGCTCGGGAAAGGGAATTTCTCTGGGACAAGAGTCATTCACAAGTACCAGACCACCTCAAATACAATACTCTCTCCTCTTGCCGAAGTGTTTGCGACGTTAGATGGTGCGGTCGAGCTCGATCATGCTCCCAGCTGGGCGGTCAGACTTTCCAATCGAACTGTCTTGGTTATTGCGAAGGAGTTGCAACGTAAACGCTGGAAACTCTAAGTCGAGAGAGATTTAGAGAGAGACGAGAAAACTTTAGCAGGATCTCTAATTTCTTCTTTTATCTTCTTGTCCACGTTACTCGGAATTCAATTCGGTCGACGATAATTGCATCAACAGCGAAAAAAGTGAATTCTGGAGAAGTCTTAGAAAAGTGAAGATCGAATCGATCGAAGAATGGGATCGGCACGGAATAACGTCGACTCGAAGGCTGTCGGCGCAGAATGATCCCGATGAATCAGAACATCGACAAGAGTTTCACTGCAAGGAATAACGACAAAAAGTGAAAATTTCGATCACCAGTCACACGGAACGAAGCCAAAATGTTAATAAAAAAAAGAAAGAACGAAAAAGGGAATCTCCCTCATGAAGTGTCGGTCGGAGTGGCAACGACATTGGATTAGGTCAACGGGGACTGTGTAAACTCCGAAGTCTCGACGAGATCGTATCGACACTTAAGGGGGCACAGTTGATCTATTTGATGCATGTGGTCAACGCCAGGAGCTTGAAGAGGTTCCAAATTCTCCATATATGAAATGCGGTCATGAACGCCATTTGTTCTATCGTATTTTTTGTCTATCCTGTGATTTTTCTTTTCTGGCGGCATTTATTTTCCTTTTTTTTCGCAAAGAGACTACGAAAGGTAAACACTGGCGCAAGATAGGGCTCTCTCTCCTCATGAATCCAATCAGGAGTCAAAATTGGTCTGGATTCCACTTTCTTTGTGCACAAAAAAAGGAGCTCTCGCATATTATATTTGCTTCCCCTTTCGTCACTGTCGACGCATCGGCAAACATTTGGTTTCCGGAATTTAATTTAATTGGGAAAAAGAGAAAACCGGATGCTTTTGGCAAACTCTCTGGGATTCATTTTGCAAACACTTGTCACATCTGCATCTTGCGGCTTCTCATGAAATATTTTCCACTTTGAAATCCTGCCTTCCCGTTCGGCATCAGGATTTGTCAGGATTTCAGGATAGTTAGTGCTATCAAGAGGCGATTTCGCCCATTTCGATATCACGTGTCGAGGTCGAGCGTTCCTTAATTTTAGGGTAGGCCTAACCCTCTTAAAACTATATATTTTTGCATTTTTGTTTTGTTTTTTTATTTTATTTTTTTATTTGACTATCCTAGTTGCTTACTGTCTAGTACCTACGNGACGATATCTCGACAGTGGCTCGACTGCAAATTACAAGCACTCATTCGTGAGAGTTCTCGTCTTTCTTCCTCAAACTCATCCCAGAAGTCCTCGACTTAGTTCAATTGGAAGGTGAACAAAAAACCCGAGCTTCTAAGAGATACGTTGAATTCTCTTCGAGGAGTAGGCGAGTCATAGGCGATTTGATACCGGTGGAAAGGAATCCGTCACTTCTGGCAGCTTGGAGTTGGAAAGACAATGAAGAGAAGAACAATGAATCGAACGATGCAAGAATGCGCATTGTTGGATCATTTCTGGCTCCGTTCGACTAAAAATAATGGTCAATTGCGATAGTTGACAATCGTGAAGGTTTGCTGTGTCTTAGAAAATGGAAAAATGTTCCACGTGATTGGAAATGAAACGTCGAACTTCTTTATGAGATGAGATCAATGTCGTCTCTGCATGATTTCCTTAATAGATTACGTGATCCCAGGAAAAACACAGACAGGAAATTCCTCCCATACGCCATCTTCATTTTACCTGAAATATTTGAAGAGTCGAAAGTAAAGGCGTCGATGTGCAAAAAAATATTTTCTCCAACTTCTTGCGAGAAGAGTAAATATTCCAGCGATCGTCTTCTTGGAAGCGAGTAAAAGGGGTTTGCGTTGAAGACCAGTTTCTCTTCCTTACGTACATTCCAAAAACCACCATCTTCAACGAACGGGAAAAAGTTGCTCTGTGCGAATCGACGAAACTCTCGGACGTTATTTGCAGATGTGTCTCCTTTCCTTTAGGCCATTCATTTGAAAGAAGCATCGAGATCGGATTTGGAATGACTTGTGGCTTTCACGGTTGCACTTTCATTTTTGCCGTTTCAAGATCACCTTTCACGTCTGCAACGCGAAGAAAAAATGGCTATTCCAACTCGAACGCTTTGTAGCGCGTTCACGTTCACGTTCTCGATAAAAACGGCCATTTAAGCTTTTCTTTTACCTGCAATAATGAATGTAATTAAAGTGACTCCAGGATGGATTCGGCGAATGAAGGTGCTCACGGCTATTCGGCTCCACCACCCCGCAATCCCACGTTTTCCAGACGATTTCCAAGAAGAGAAAGCGCCATGACGAAGTCGTCGACTCCCGCTTCCAATATCTTCATTGGAGAAAACTGGGGTGAATCCGATTTATTCAAGCTCATGCCATCAATGAGGAAGCAAAATTGCATCCCATACCAATGAAAATTGGATATGGCAGTTCCATAGCACCACTCCATCGACGCCTCCTGACACCGATTGAAAGTCTGTCACGAAAGTAACGCGTGTATTCAAAGAAGCCTTCTAAACCTCATCGAACATGTTTTCGATGGGGAAGAAGCATCTGAAATTTCCCCATGCAAAGAAGCAGTCGGAAGTTGTACAGATCGTCCTCGTTTACTCGAATTCGTATCCGACGTTTCTGAAGACATATTCAGGTTCGATTGAGAACTTTTGGGGGGCGGTGTTCGGTATGGGTTCGAGTCTTATCTCTAATCGGTGCTTCCTTCGTGTACGAGGGAGGACATTTATTTGAGCAGAGTCAAGATGGAAAAAAAGTAGAATACAGGGTGTCCCATAAGACACAGTACCACTGTGGAGAAATTGTATGTTGGCCCTCCTCCCATGCCATGTTTTATCTGCGAGGTGGATTGGTCATGCTTCTTCGCGAGCAACAGTAAATTTTCGTGCGACCTCCTCCTAGCCAGTGACGCGGTGGAAAGGATGCCCTTATTCGGAAGTAAGCCCCGGTCACTGACTAAGGGGAGAGGTAGTAAGGTTTTTCCGGATGCCCTTAGAGGCAGAACAACAGTCTTGATTGTAACCCCGTCCTGGACGCAGTTTTCCCGATTTGCGTGGCCCACCCACCTCCAGCCTCCTCCATGCTACCTCTTTTGTAAGTACCTCTATATCCTTATTCTTATTGCTATGTAAAGCTTATTAAATAAACCCGCGAGGGCCTTGTTCTGATATTCGACGATCCCCAATCATTCGGAATCTTCCGAAACTCGGTCAAATGCAAGACTCCCAACTCGGCTCCCAACATCAACAAAAAGCCACACTCGGCTACCGCCACACCACTTCAAAACATCGCAACTACTAAACAGTTATCACAAACGAGTAGCAACATTACCAAATGGCAGCATGCCGTTTGGAATAATCTTTCTAAAAAATGGAGGCAATTCTGAGTTTTGGATGTGCCTCAAAATGCCCTCGGTCCACACCAATACATTTTGCATGAGACTTGGCACCAAAAAATCGTCTAAACTCCCTTTGAACTCTGACAGGATTCTCAAAGACCTCCATCCAGGTGGAAACTTTTCTTCCTTCCCACCACTTCTATTAGATTGCTACCGATAACTGATGCACTCTACCTTTACCTATTCATGTATACTTCTGGATTCCCATTCCTATATTTCCTTGA